CCTGGTTTTAGCTCTACCAGGGTTGGGGCCCTGTGAGCAGCCAGTACTACTCCCCCCGTCTCTGCCCAGGCTGTGGGGAATTCTTGTAGTCATCTGTGCATATTGTTCTCTACTGGGGGCGCCCCCTTGTGGTGGTGATATTCATCCTCCAGTCTCAGAGTCAGAACCTGGATGGGGTGCCCTTTACCATCGGTGACCTGGGGCCCCACTTGTCTGAAAGTTATTTGGGCTCCAATCTTGGTTAGCAAGTCCCATCCTAATAGGGGGTAGGGGCATTCTGGTATTACCATGAAGGAATGGGATACCCAGCCCGTTCCTAGATCTACTGTTCTTCGGGTAGTCCATGAATACTGGCTCATGCCGGTTGCCCCTTGCACCCAGGACTTTTTGCTGGCTAGCTTCCCTTGAGGTGTGTGGAGGACTGAATGTTGTGCTCCAGTGTCAACAAGGAAGTCAACAGGGGTCCCCTCCACTCTAAGAGTTACCCTGGGCTCAGGGAGGGGGTCCGAACCCCGACTCCCCTAATCACTCAGTCCTTCCAGCTCCAAGACCTCCACCTGGTCCATCTTGTTTTCCTTTTTACCAGCCTTCTTTGGGCATTCTCGGACCCAGTGTCCTGTCTCTTTGCAGTAAGCACACTGGTTCCGTTGCAGCTTCTTTTTCCGGCCCCGGGCGGCCCCCTTACCTCCTTCTTGATCATCGGCAAGTTGGCGAAAGCGGTGGGTCTGCTCCTCAGGGGACTCTGTGGTGGTGGCTAGCAGAATCTTGGCCAGGTTTCAGATCTGCTTGTCACTGGCAGCCACCATGGCGCCGGCCTGCCTATCCTCAGGGGACTCCCGGTTATTATACACATTCTCGGCTACTTCCAGCAAGTCCCGAAGACTCTTTTCCCCTAATCTATCTATTTTCTGCAGTTTCTTTCTGATGTCTGCAGCTGACTGGTTTATAAAACTCATGACTACAGCCGCCTTATTCTCAGGGGCTTCTGGATCCATGGGGGTATAAGTGCAGTATGCCTCCATGATCCGTTCTAAAAAGGCAGCTGGAGACTTGTCCCTTTCCTGCTGTACGTTCCCTACCTTGAGGCTTTCTAGCAGTCATGCGGAGACCCCCCCATTAGAGTCTGGCAGTAGACTCGAAGCCTCTCCTTACCTTCTGCCGTGTTGAAGTCCCAGACAGGCCTAGTTAAGGGAAAAGAGACATCTATCTGGGACTGGTTGGTGGTTGGGTTCCCGTCCATGCCGGGAACCACCTTCCGGGCCTCATTGAGGATTCTTTCTCTCTCCTCCGTTGTGAACAGGACCTGCAAGAGCTGCTGGCAATCGTCCCATGTGGGCTGGTGGGTGAAAAGAACAGAGTCTAACAAGTCAATAAGCCCCGCTGGCTTCTCGGAGAACTTAGGGTTCTGTGCCTTCCAGTTGTAAAGGTCACTAGTGGTGAAAGGCCAGTAGTGATGGGGCTGATTGCCATCCGCATCCGGGGGGCCAGCAGCTCGTAAGGGCAAGGTCTTGATAGTGGAGTCAGGGGCTGTGACAGACAGCTCCCACTGAGCTTTTTGCCTGGTGAGAGGCTGGCCTCCTACCGGAACCGTGGCTGCTCCCGGAACTCCATCCCCAGCCGCTCCCAGAACTGCATCAGCTTCCCATGGCGGGGCAGGATTGAATCACTCTGGCATCCTGGGGAGTTGATATGTGAGAGGAAAAATTAACTCTTCTCTAGTTCCCTCCTGCAAAACCGGGTAGAGGGGAGCCAGAGCTGACGGCGGGGTGGCTTCCTTCTCCTCCTTCTTTTCTGCTTCCTACAAGGTAAGAATGGGCTCCGTCTCCAGAGGGCGAGGAGCCAGGAAAGGCTTGAGCCAGGAGGGAGGGTCCTCCATGAGGTCCTGCCAAGTAATAATGTAAGGGAGTTGATCAGTATGGCCCCCCTTTGGCTGAGAAATGATTTCTCTGCCCCGGCAAATGGTGGGGAGGTCGAGAGTCCCCTCCGGCAGCCACCTGGCATTGAGAGCCGGCCACTCGCTGGAGCAGAAAGTTTGCCATCGGCCCTTCCTCACTTCTACACTAAGGTTGTTAGCCCTTTCCTTAACCTCTTTAAAATGATCAACCATAATGCTTAAAGGAGTAGTCTGAGTCTGTCCCATAACGTCCGTCCAGTGAGTCCACAAAAGTAGACAGAAAGACACAGAAATCAAACAAACAAAGACACCCAAGAACAGCCTTCCGACCCCGCGGAAGCAAAACTGAAAACTGGACGATGGCTGTGCGCCAACCAGCGGGAGCGACCCGCCTCGTCCCAGAGGTTTGAGGGGAACCCACTCCCCTCGTCAGGGGTTTTTACTCCCCTCCAGATGGAGGATAAGAGCGTCCTCCGACTCCCCCTGCCCGAGGTCTTCCAGTGCGTCCACCTAGACCGTTTAGGGCACTTCAGATTTCAGAAGCGAGTTCGCACAGAACAGAACAGACAACACAGACACTTACCGCAGTCAGACTCTCTCCAGATCGAGGTCCGTCGTGGGTTTTGGGGATCCCGGGTGAGCCCCCAAATGTTATGCCCAGAGTTCAGGGTCCCCAATAATCAACCACCAGGGAGCCTTTTCCGATGCAAAAGCAAAGAGTCTTTATTCAAACCTGGGTTTGGCTCCCAGCCTCTTTCCGACGCAGCGGTGAGACGAGAGAGAGAGCCCCGGGAGAACAAAGGTTATATAGGGCTAGTCATTTGGGTGGGGTTAGGTAAGTGATGTGAGTTACAGAGATTGGTCACTCCGGTCAGTGTTTTTCAGCAGGGTCTTATAGCACAAAGGTCAGAAAGTGACCAGCACATTCTGAGGCTTGAGCCGTCCTCCACTATAGCCTTATTAGGACCTTAACTGCATTCCTGGAGCTTCATTGGTCCACTCAGGTGGTAGTTGGGGGAGTTAGGACAGTACTGGTATTCTTGTGGTCACTCTCAGAAAAGGGAGGGGGCTTAGGCTGAGGGCCCAGCCCCACAAGACAAGATGGAGGAGAGTTCTTTGTCCTTTCAATAGCAAAGGTGGAGATTTATTGAAGAACAAGTAGACTCCCACGTGGGGAGGGGGAAAGAGTCCCACTGAGTTCCTTTTCCCTGCAACCTTTTAAAGGCTGCAGATCCCAGTGCCTTGATACCCCTCTGCTTGGTCACTATTTCCTATCTGCCTCTGTTTGTTTGAACTGACTGACTGTGGGGCTCCTAGGCAGTTTATCTGCCTCTGTTTTGGGACTTCCCAGAGAGGAAGTAAAACTCAGACTGCAATAAGAGTCCAAGTTTAGGGGCAGAAGAGCTCAGTAACTTCTGAGCTCAAAGGTTGAACCTCACATGGGACATGTGAGGCTTTTCCTCCCCTCCTTTCTTATTGCTTTCCTATTCCCTTTGGGTCATCTTCTCCTTCGGAATGAAGGGCTTCCTTCCCTTTATTTTGTAAATATAGACCTTCTGCTGTTCCCAGCTCCCTCATTCTATGCAAATGTACCTGTTGCAACTTTTCAGCCCCCCTATGCTAAGGAAATCTGCCTTCTGTGCTCTGCAGCCAGTGTTACTTCCCTGGTCCTCTTAATTTCTAAAATTTCCTAAAACCTGTCTTTTTCACCCCCCAAAATTCCTGTTTCATTAATTTGCAATTATGCAGTACATAGATAAGTGAGATAAGTGTCCCAGGAAGAAGGGGCATTTGTCCAAGGAATCCCTTGAGATAAACTTTAACTGTGCAGTTATCTGGACATTAAAGTAGTTGCCAGCAAAAAGACTCCTTTGAGCTGGCAGGGCCAAGAGTTGGCCTTTTCCTCTAACCTTATATTAGTATAATTATGGCTACTGGAGGCATTATGTCACACAAATAATTACAGTTGCAATTCACAGGCAATTTATTCTCCTTTTAACATTGCAGTGGGCACAAAGCTTATCAGCACACAGCACACTGTTATTCACAAAATTCCTGGCGCTGTGGGTACAAGCTTAGGGGGACCCCAAAATGTGGCTTTCCTCTCATGGCAATTTCTGCTGCATATTACTACAACAGTAGGAAATTAAGAAGTAGAAAATGTAAGAAGTTAAAATGTAGAATGAGAGGTAATTCGAATTCTAATGGGAATACTGATGTAGAATGACACAGTTTTCCATTCCACATTTAGCATAGCCTTGACTCTGTCCCATTAAAGATCTCTGCAAGTTCCCTTTCCTAGTTCAGTTCTCTATGGTTAAACTAAATTAATCAAGCATTTACTGGCCATTATTGTGTGGCTGCACCTGACCTTTTAAGGAAGAAAATTTCTGGAGACTCAACCGTATCTTCTAACTTTGAGTGAAACTTTCTGAGCACAGAAAGTGCATCGATATTTATAAATGGCTAAGTGAACAGATGACCAGATGACCGGCTGACTGGATTGTAGCTATGACACGCACTGACCATCAGGGGGCAGACGCTCAATGCAGGAGCTGCCCAGAGAAAGCAACTTTGCAGAGTGCCCTCTTGCACTCTGGGACCTCTCGGGGGATGTTGGATGGACTGTCAGTTTCGGCCCGATCCGCACAGGCCAGGCCGTGGGACCCCACTGGTGTACGAATCCGTGCACTGGGCCTCTAGTGTTTTGATAAGTTCCCCATAGCAATTAGTGTAATGTTGTGAAAGAAGTTGATGTTCAAACACATGATTCTGCTGGTTTGAGAAGGAAAACAGGGGGGCAACTTTGGGTGCTTACAGCCTAGTTCAGTATCTAGTTAAAGAGTAATTTTACTTCCCCATTTTGACTGACTTTGGATCAAAGTCCCTGAACTAGCAGTGCTGGGTAATAAAGGACCTTTCCTGATCACTCTGCTGACGGTTGTAGTTCTCTTGGGCCATTTGCCACAACAGTCTGACCAAAGACACAATTCTCAATCCGACGCATATGGGAGCAGAAAACAACAAGGGGCTCTTCTGGGGTGAAAGAAGACTGAGGATGAAAACTGAGTCTAACTGCATGTATACATTTCTTTTTGTTTTTCAGAAACTTGCACAAAGAACAATCAAATTATCATTATTGTCCTTGTAATCATCTTGATTGTCCTTGTCATCATCGTAATAATTTTATTATGTATATATTCACGTCCCAATAAAAAAGGTAAGATGTGAAAAATGGAAGGCAATAAATTATGCCAAAGCCAATAGAATGAGTGGGACAGTGACAATGGGATGTTAGGTGTTTAGGAAAAATAATGAAGATCAAAATAATAATAGAAGGTTTTTCTTCTGTAGCATATTCCAACTGAATACACACTAAGTCTATACATGACCATCTTTTGAAGTTAAAAGAATATTTTTGTTGTAAAATGGTTACTACTAAAAAATAGAAACCAGGAAGCTGCAAGAATTTTATGCAAATTTTATCTTAAAGTCAAATTTCCACCTGGTCCTCAATGATCTCAGCCTCTACAGCTGAATAACTGGATTCTTATCTGAAGTTTGAAGGGATGTCACTTAAATTACAAAAGACTTTGATGTCTGTCTTACTAGCAGAATCCCTCCCTTACTATCCTTGACAAAGCAAGTTGCCATTTTGAGGAAAACCCCATGGCAAGGATCCCATGGCAGCCTCAGTCCAACAGCCAGCTGGGAATTGAGGCCCTCAATCAAATGGCCATCCTGTTCACATTCTGCCTGTGGCCATATCAATGAGCTTGGAAACAGATCCTTCCCTAACCAAATCCCCGTGGTGGGCAGCACCTGATTGCAGCCTCCTGAAAAACCCTGAGGTACAGGACACAGTAAAGTGATACCATATTCCTCACCCACAGAAGCCATTGGATAATAAAGGTGTGTTCTTTTAGGCTGCTGAATTTGTGTCACTTGTTATTTAGAAATAGAACTAATACAAGCTTTATTAATAATTATCCTTGGAAAACAGGCATAATTATGGAATAGATCAAGCAGAATAAGACATAGAAACATCCTAAATAAAATTATGCAGTGAAACTAATGATGTTTTTTAAATGAAAATATTTGTCTGTTAAGTTTAATTCACCTACTCTTTTAAAATATGTTTTATTGGTCTTTTTAAGTTTTAAAGTTTGCAGTTGACTCTCAAAATAACGACAGTATTATTCAGTCTGCAACAAAGTTAAACAGACAAATTATTTATTTTCTTAATTTCATTTTTCAATTACAGTTTGTATTCAACATTGTTTTGTGTTAATTTCAGGTGTACCATATAGTAGTTAGAAAATCGTCTACTTTGCAAAGTGTTCCCCACGATATTTCAAGTTCCCACCTGGATCCGCAGTTATTACAGTACTGTCCACTATGTGTTTAACATCCCAGGGACTGTTTTGGAGCTACCAATTTGTACTTCTAAAGCCCATCACTTTCATCACCTAACCCCAAACTCCTAACCCCTCTGGCATCCATTAATCAGTTCTCTGTATCTATAAATCTGTTTGTATTTTGTTTGTTCATTTTGTTCTTTAGATTCCACATATAAGTGAAATCATAGGGTATTTGTCTTTCTCTGACTTATTCCACTTAGCATAACACCCGCTAAATCCATCCACGCTCTTGCAAAATGTAAAATGTTATTCTATTTTATGACCAAGTAATATTCTATTATATATATGTATCACAGTTTCAGAGAGGAAGAGAGAGGGAGAGAGAGAGAGAAAGAAACATCAGTAATGAGAGAGAATCATTGATTGGCTGCCTCCTGCATGCCCCACACTGTAGATCAAGCTCACAACCCAGGAATGTGCCCTGATCATAAATCAAACCGTGGCCTCTTGGTTCATAGGTCGACGCTCAACCATTGAGCCACTTGGGCCATGCTCTACCACAGCTTTTTTATCCACTCATCTATTGAGGGGCACTTGGGCTGCCTCAATATATTGGCAATTGTAAATAATGCAATGAACGTAGGGGTGCATACATTCTTTCAAATTAGTGTTTTGGGTTTCTTCAGATATATACCCAGGAGAGGAATCTCGGGTTTTAGGTAGTTCCATTTTTAATTTTTGAGGACTCTCCATACTGTTGATTATAATTCCTGCACTAATCTGCATTCCCACCAACAGTGTTCAAGGTTCCTTTTTCTCCATACCCTTGCAAACACTTGTTGTTTGTTGATTTATTGATGATAACCTGACAGGTGTGAGGTGGTATCTCATTATGTTTTTAATTTGCATTTCTCTGAGATTAGTGACATTGAGCACCTTTTCATATGTTTATTGGCCAGCTGTATGTCCTCTTTGGAGAAGTGACTATTCAGGCCTTATGCCCACCTTTTAATTGGGCCATTTGATTTTTCTGGTGTTGAGTTATATGAATACTTTATAAACTTTGAATATTAATCCCTTATGGATGTATCATTGGTGAATATCTTCCACCATTCAGTAAGTTGTCTTTTCATTTTGTTGATGGTTTCTATTGCTGTACAAAACCTTTTTAGTTTGATGTAGTCCCATTTGATTATTATTTCTTTTGGTACCACATGGCCCAGCAATCCCACATCTGGTCATTTGTCTGAAAAAGAAAAACAAACACTATATTCACTGCAGCACTATTTATAAAAGTAGCCAAAACCGGTTTGGCTCAGTGAATAGAGCACTGGTCTGCGGACTGAAGGGTCCCAGGTTCAGTTCCAGTCAAGGGCATGTACCTTGGTTGTGGGCACATCCCTAGTAGGGGGTGTGCAGGAGGCAGCTGATCAATGTTTGTAGCTCTCTATCTCTTGTTAGGGTCCAGCCCCAGCAGGTCCAGGGGTTCCCAAAGGTGTGGACAGAGTCGGCGAGGAAGGAATGACATGAGACAGCATTCAGGTGATCATCATGGCCAGGTTCCTCCTAGCCAGGTTCCTCTCTTTACTGTCCTCTTACATCTGTATTTATCCTATTTGATCTTAATCCCATCCATTCCATTCCAAAGGCTAGGGCGTTTCTTATCTCCATTCCAAGGTTACTCTGGTGTTCTATTAAGCTACAAGGAAGTAACTGAAGGAGGTTATTCTAAGTAAAGATTATGTAGTTTAAGCGTGATTGTTCATAGTTAAAGTGATTAACTACCCCTCTGGCACTTAGTTAAGGGGTTTACTGATAAAAAATCCTCACCTGGGGAGACAACCTTTCTTGGAGAGGTGACCTTGGTTAAAACACATAGCACTTAAGAAGGGGAGCAAACATATTAAGAACAGTATGCCATATACGCCAGGGCCCTTGAAACATCCCTGCAGCAACTGCGTCAAGCAGCCAGGGTGGATTGGCTTCCATCAATCTCTCTCCCTTCCTCTCTGTAAAAAATCAATAATATATATATATATATATATATATATATATATATATATATATACATATATATATATATATATATTTAAAAGTAGCCAAAACAGGGAAGCAACCTAAATGTTCATCAACAGATAATTGGATAAAGATGTGATATCTATACTAATAATAGCCTAGGTGGTCATCAAGCCCTCAGTTGTCACAAGATGGCCATAACAAGATGGCTGCATGCGCGGTGGAGGCAGGGCCCAGCAGCCGCTCTGCCCAGTGAGGCCTGGGGGTCCCGCAGCTCCTGGTGGTGTGGAGGAGGCTGGTCCCTGAGTCTCTGCCACCTCGCACAGAGGAAGTGGACCCTGGCGGAGGAGGCGGGTCGTGGTAGGGGAGGGCAGTTGTGGGTGATCAGGCCAGCAGGGGAGCAGCTAGGGGGCAATCAGGCTGGCAGGGAGAAGCAGTTAGGGGCAATCAGGCAGGTGGGCAGGAGGGCAGTTATGAGCCAGCGGTCCTGGATTGTGAGAGTTATGTCCGACTGCCGGCCTGGTTCCCAGATTGGAGAGGGTACAGGCCCAGCTGAGGGACACGCCCCCCCCCCAATTTCGTGCACTGGGCCTCTAATATATAATATATACATATATATATAATTACTTAGCTATAAAATAAATAAATCTTACCATTTGCAATACCATAGATGGATCTAGAATGTATTATGCTAAATGAAGTAAGTCAGAGAAAGACAAAAATCATGGATTTTACTTCTATATGGACTCTAAAAACAAAATATCCAAAAAAACCAAAACAGACACAAACTCATATAGAGAACAAATTGATGATTGCCAGATAGGAAGAGCATTGGAGAGCTGGGTGAAAAAATGGAGGGATTACAAAGCACAATTTGGGAGTTACAAAATATTCATGGAGAATACTGTGGTTATTATGCATGCTGTCAGGTGGGCACTAGACTGATCAAGGAGTAAGTTAGTTAGATGTCTAGTCACCATGCTGTACAGCGGAAACTAATAGAATATTGTATGTCGATTATATTTGAAATATTTTAATTAAATAAATAAACAAATATAGCCAATGACCATACTAAAGCTAACCAACTGAACAATGAGAACATAAATACTGTCAAAAGGGTTTTATAAATTAACCAACAAAACTAATATTCCCAAATGTTACAATATCTCAACAAATTAACTCCATGTCCCCCTTTTAATTTATTGTAGAATATGTCAGCACAATAATGAGCTATGAGCCAGTATCTGCATGTTTGTGTATGGGGGCAGGGGGGCAGGGGCGTCTGTGAATAAGTGTGTTCATCTGAAACCTGGTGAAATTATGATTAAATATGAATTCATTAGTAAATTTGAATTCTCTTTGTGATTCTTTCCCATGCACCTGACACTGATCTCTTTTTTTATTTCAGAGGCTTGGAGCAAATTAGGTAAAATTTTTGATATTCCTTTACTCTTTTTTTTTTAATGATGGCATTTTTTTTTCTTTATTGATTAAGGTATTACATATGTGTCCTTATCCCCCCATTGCGACTCCACCTCCCCACTCATGCCCTCACCACCCTGGTGTCTGTGTCCATTGGTTAGGCTTAAATGCATGCATATAAGTCCTTTGGTTGATCTCTCCCCTTACTCCCACCCTCCGCTACCTTCCCTCTGAAGTATAATGGTCTGATTGATGCTTCTCTGTCTCTGGATCTACTTTTGTTTATCAGTTTATGTTGTTCATTATATTTCGCAAATGAGTGAGATCATTTGACCCAGTGACCCCACTTCTAGGAATATATTCTAAGAAACTACAAACACCAATCAGAAAGGATATATGCACCCCCATTTTCATAGCAGCAAAAATTTACCATAGATAAGATTTGGAAACAGCCTAAGTACCCAGCGGCAGATGAGTGGATTAAAGAGCTGGGGTAAAAAAAGGAAAACCTCTACTCTTGGTCTCCTTCACAACATCTGCTTTCTCTCCCCCTCTGACATTTCCTGCCTTTTAACTCTGTGCCTTCCATTGGCCTTTCCTTCTCCTGATGTCTGCTCTTCCCATCCTGATTTTGGGACTGAACTTCTCCTATTTTGAATTCTGGCCCTTTCAGTTTCCCTACCTTCCATCCCTTCCTGTTCCTCCTTTTTTCATTTTACACAAATTATTTCCCTGTAAACATTGGCTGCTTCTGTCTTGCCGAGAATTGCCAGTTTCATTAAGAAGTTGGTCAGATGAAGGGTGGTAACCTCATAGACACATGGCTCCTGCTATATTTATTTCTGGAAAATATCCAAACTTAGTACCTCTGTCAGGTATTCCAAGTTAGAGGGCCCATTATTATGCAGCTGATACTTCTCCAAATCCTTAAGAGACCACAGAAGATTCCAAACTTGCAGAGTCAAGTTTCTCAGCCTATTGTCTTTTCAAAGCCTCTGTTGTAATTAAAACTAAAGACAAAGTGCATGAATTCATGCATCAGTGGGGTCCCTTGGCCTGGCCTGTGGGATCATGCTGAAACTGGCTCTCTGAAGGGTCCCAGATTGCAAGAGGGAGCAAGCCCAGCTGAGGGACCCCACCAGTGCATGATTGTGGCCCAGGAGGGACTCGGTAGGTTGGCTAGCTGGGGACAGACTGCAGGAGGGCACCAGGGTGGGTCTGGCCCATTTCGCTCAGTCCTGATAGGCCAGACCCCAGCAGCATGCTAACCTACCAGTTGGAGCATCTACCCCCTGGTGGTCAGTGCATGTCATAGTGACTGGTTGACCGGTTGACTGTATGCCCCTGGTGGTTGGTGCACGTCATAGCAAGCAGTTGAGCAGCCTTAGCATATCATTAGTATATTATGCTTTGATTGGTTTAATGGCCGATGGGACCACATGACACAGCATATTAGACTTGTATTATATAGGATGTTATTCATCAGACAAATGTGAATTGCCCTTGAATATATAAACCAGGTGTTCCAAGGTTCTCTATTCATATATAAATATTTTACAGAGATTTTCCTGACATTCAAAAATATTCAACCATGCCATTTTTTTATTCTTTTGCATTTACATTGATTCAGTTATCAAATGACAAACTGCACTTTTTAAAAACCATTTGCAGCCCTAGCTGGGTAGCTCAGTAGCTACAGTGCCTTCCTCATGCGCCCAGGTTGCCGGTTTGATTCCTGGTCAGGGCACATATTAAGCATCAGCTAAAGCTTAATATCCCTCTTTTATAATGAAAATTTCAATCATATTTTTGCTTCCTTGGGAATGGTCTCTAAGAATATATTTTTTTTACCACAACTTCTCTATCCACTCATCTGCTGATGGGCAGATAAGCTGTTTCCAGAAATTGGCTCTTATAAATAACTAGAGGCCCAGTGCACAAAAATTTGTGCACTCAGGGGGGAGAGGGGGTCCCTCAGCCCGGCCTGTGCCCTCTAGCAGTCTGGGACCCCTCTGGAGATAACGCCCTGCTGGCTTAGGCCTGCTCCCGGGTGGCGGAGGGCAGGCCCAATCCCTAGGTGCAGATCCTGGTCGGGCTCAGAGCAGGGCTGATTGGGGAGTTGGGGTGCCGCCCCCTGTCACACTCAAGGCAGGGTCGATGGAGAGTTTGTGGCGCCACCCCCTGTCACGCACAGAGCAGGGCCAATCAGGGGGTTGGAGAGCTCCCCCTGTCACGCACAGAGTAGGTCCCATCAGGGGGTTGGAGAGCTCCCCCCATCACGCACAGAGCAGGGCCCATCAGCTGGTTGAGGAGCTCCCCCCGTCACTCACAGAGTAGGGCCGATAGGGGAGTTGGGTCACCGCTCCCTGTCACCCACAGAGCAGGGCCGATCAGGGGGTTGGGGTGCTGCCACTGTCACACTCAGGGCAGGGCTGATGGGGAGGTTATGGCTCTACCCCATCACACACAGAGCAGGGCCCGTGGGGTGGGGGTTGGAGCACCGCCCTCTATCACCCACAGAGCAGGGCCGATCAGGGGGTTGGGGCATCGCCACTCTCACACTCAGGGCAGGGCCGATGGGGAGGTTATGGCTCTACCCTGTCACACACAGAGCAGGGCCGATCAGGGGTTGGGGCACTGCATCCTGTCACACACAGAGCCACAGGGCGATCATGGGGTTGGGGAGCTCCCCCTATCAGGCACAAAGCAGGGCTGATCAGGGGGTTGGGGCGCCTTCCCCTGTCACAAACAGAGCAGGGCGGATAGGGAGGTTGTGGCCCCACCCCCTGTCACACACAGAGCCGCAGGGCAATCAGGGGGTTTGGGCGCTGCCCCCTGTCACACTGATCCCGGTGCCGGGAGGCCTCTTGGCTCCGCTGATCCTGGTGCTGGGAGGCATATTACCCTTTTACTATATAGGATAGAGGCCTGGTGCATGGGTGGGTGCCGGCTGGTTTGCCCTGAAGGGTGTCCTGGATCAGGGTGGGAGTCCCCACTGGGGTGCCTGGCCAGCCTGGGTGAGGGGATGATGGCTGTTTGCAGCTGGTCACACACCCTTCAGGGTGGGGGTCCCCACTGGGGTGCCTGGCCAGTCTGGGTGAGGGGCTGAGGGCTGTTTTCAGGCTGGCGGGTGACTGAGCTCCCAACCGCTCCTTTTTTTCTTTTTCTTTTTATTCTGGGCCAGCTTTAGCTTTGAGGCTTGGCTCCAGCTCTTAGGCCTCCACTACTGAAAGCAGGTTTCTGGCCTTTGTTTACCTTCTGTATTTGAAACAATGTTGTGATCCTGCTGGTTGAAGCCCGACAGACTAAAGCAGTTTTCTGGGGTTTTGTTTAGCTTCTATATTTGTAACATAGTTGCTTAGAGTTGCAGCTCAGAGGCCTGCAGTGGCAGGCGGGGAACGTTGGAGTCCTCCATCACTGAAGCAAGCAAGCCTCATGTTCACTTTAAGCTGCCTGGCTGCCGGCCACCATCTTGGCTGGCAGTTAATTTGCATATTTCCCTGATTAGCCAATGGGAAAGGTAGCGGTCGTATGCTAATTACCATGTTTCTCTTTTATTAGATAGGGTGCTGCTATGAACATAAGGGGACATGTATTCTTTCTGATTGGTGCTTCTGGATTCTTAGGATATATGCCTAGGAGTGGAATTACACAATAGAATACTATGGGGCTGTAAAAAGAACGAACTCTTACCCTTTGTGACAGCATGGAGGGACCTGGAGAGTATAATGCTAATAGAAATAAGCCAATAACAGAAAAACAAATACCATATGATCTCATTAATATGTGGAGTCTAATGAACAAAATAAACTGATGAACAAAATGGAACCAGAAGCATGGATTCATAGCACAGTTAGGCCAGTGCCTGAGGGGGGTTGGGTATGACAGGATAAAGAATGTGAAAGGATTAGCTAAAGAGCTTATATTCATACCCCATGGACACAAACCGTGGTTTGGTACAGGCCAAGAGGGTTAAGTGGGGGAAGGTTGAGGTGGGCAAAGAGGGGGAATGGAGACATCTGCAATAGTGTTAATATTAAATTTTTTAATTTAAAATGAATATATTTATTTAATGTACAGTGTAAGTTTCATATGACTATTCACCAGTGCAAAAGGTTCAGTTCTGGGAAAATGGGTGCCTTTCCTGTATGCTTCCTTGTACCTGTCTCATGTAGAAATTCATGTTTGCATTTCATTCTGAAACAGGTGATAGTCCACATACAGAGGAACAATTGGTACCGTGCCTCCCAGAAGGCTACCGTCCTAGCTCCCTCATGGGTTTATTTCCTCATTTAGTTCCTTTTGCGCAAGGCATGAAGGAGGGAACATGTTGCCTCTGATAGGTGAGATGTCCTTTGGAAACTTAAGGTTGCAATTTTCACAAGCATGCAATTTTTAATTTGAATTCCAGAGTGAATTGCTTAAGGGGTACCAATTTTGTTCAACTCAGGAGTGAACTGTGAAGAGGGTACCAATTCTATTCTCCTCCCTTCCCCATGTTGTGTTTTCATTTGACATGAGTTGTTTATTTCTCCCTTTTTCTTTTCAGCGGAGAATGAGCTCAGAAAAGGCAAGTACCATTATCACTCAATTCTTTGAACTCCTGAGTTAAATGCTAAAAACTGCAAAGTGTTTACAAAAGCTAATATTAAAATTTCTATTGACATTTAAGCTATGTTATAATTTTGTGAAACTCAAAGTTTTAAAACCATTAGACTTGCAAAAAGATTTGTGTCCACACATTATAGTCATGCACTTTCTCAATTATAACAAAAATTACTAAAAAGACTTTTCTAAGATTTATAGATTATCTTTTATTTTTTTTAAATATATTTTATTGATTTTTCACAGAGAGGAAGGGAGAAGGATAGAGAGTTAGGAACATCGATGAGAGAGGAACTTCGATCAGTTGCCTCCTGCACATCTACTGGGGATGTGCCCACAACCAAGGTACATGCCCTTGGCTGGAATCAAACCTGGGATCCTTCAGTCCACAGGCCAACACTCTATCCACTGAGCCAAACCGGTCAGGGCTATAGATTATCTTTTAATTGTACGAAATAAACTTCACTGAAAGATACCTTGCTTAATTTAATATACTGGAAAAATTGGAAAAATTAAAATACCAATTTATATATACTCCTGCTAAGAAAACATTTGGAACAAAATTATTTTATTTCATTAAGTAAGTGATGTGGTCCAAACCTTGAATGTCCCAAGTGCCTCAAGCCACTCATAAAGAAATATGTGTGGGGTACAATTCTAGGAGTGCTCTCTACCACTTCAGCAACATTTTCCATTTAGTCATTTGAGAAAATTCACTTGTTTATCTCTCTTTTCTAAGGACAAATAAGTGATAATTTTTCTGTTTCCATTTGTTCCCTGCTTACCCTTTATTCATATTCACTGTACCAGTTCACTTTGCAGTGGCAGTTTTTAACGGATCTTAATTTTCTGGGTTCATTTCCCTTATATTTACAAAAGTTTTCCATTTTCTTTTTCTGAAGAACTTCAGCAACAACTTGGTAACTTTCCTCAGACTGGCATTCCATTAGAGATGTGTTTCTCTGACAAGATTCTTTTCTTGTCTATATCTTAGTCTCTAAATCATTACCCACCACCATCTTTGCTCTTTTATTTTAGTTTTTCATGAATGTTAAATTATCCTATCCATTTCCTTTTCGCTTCTTGGGATTCTCCCATACTCTGCCTCTACCCTTTCCATCCCTTTTCTTCACTCGCTACCTCTACCTTGCAGATGCTTCCTATAACTGCATGTCAAGGCGGGTGAGCTGAAGATCAGGTTAGGGAGCACGTGCTAGCTGCCATTTGGGATCTCTTCTGTAAACTGCCTTTTACTTGGGTTCTCCAGCAGGGCCTCTGGATGGCATGCCTATTGCTGTGCACACAATGATATGCTAATTGTTAAGGGTCGAAATCAGACTTCAAAGTTTCTGATGTTTGTTTCTTCTTTTATTGGACTTTTAAACACTCTGAACATACATACTGCTGGCAAGTTTACCTTGAGACTTGCTATTGTATTTTTCTTGGCCATATTCTCACATGATCCATCATCTGTATATATAAAAGGCTAAGTGACCGACTGCCTGACCGACCAACCGGCTGGTACATATAACCTTCACTGGCAATTTAAAAATAAATGTTGGTTTGCACACTTCTATTATAGAGAAAGAGCAAATAATGATATCAAAATATTTTGTATTTTAATTTTATAATACTATATTATATATACTACCAGCGGCCTGGAAGATACCGTGAAAATTCATTCAAGTGTAGGCCATCCTTCCCCCAGCTGTCAGCACCAGTTTCCCCCTGGCAACCCGGGACCCGGCCTTTCCTCCAGCTGCTGGAAGATACCAGGGACCCAGGCAATTCCGCTCTGGCCCCGGCTTTGTTCAGAAGGACATCTGATCTAATTAACATACTACCCTTTTATTATTATAGATTTTGACATCTAATTTTTTGCAGTAATGTAATTACCACACAAATCTTTCTTATACTTAATTTTGTTTCAATTTGCATGAGTCCGTGTACCTGGCCACTAGTATATAAATATTTTTACATGGTTGTGCCTGGTTATTTGCTCTTTCCAACCACAGTTATTACTCCACTTTCATTTTCATTCAATTGTTTATTAATTCACCAAATTCCTCTTCCTTTGGGATCTTTATACATATGTTTTTCACTCAAGTAAAATCTCTAAGATCTAAGGTTAGTTTCTAAGATATTCCCACACCACTCTTTAGTATCCCACTCAGGAGTTATTTCAATCTTTCTGCCTCTACATATCACGTAACGTTTTTATACAATTGTACTGATGATTTCAGCAGAATGGACTTTCCCGAGTTGTTCTCTATTTACAGAAGGGACATGACTGGCCATGTTGTAGAAAGTCATTAGCAGATGTGAGTCTTTAGTTGCCTCTCTTCACAATGTTTATAAAACCTCTCTCCTACAAGTGTGTTCACATGTCGTTTCTCAGTTAGGAGACAGGCACAGTTAAGGTCCAGTGAGAGACAGAATCCCTGTCAAAGAATCCCAGTACTTTCTCTCTCTGGCATTCAGCTCCCATGTGAATTGATTAAGATAAGCTCATCCATGAAGGTCCTAGAACAAAAGCTCAAGTGCAATACCATTGGAAATTAATGGTTGGCCTAAAACATTATGAACTAGGGCACCAGCACACTGACCCTGTATTGCCTAGTGCACCTTTGTCTCAGTGTCCCCATCTCCAGTGTTTGTGGGCACTTTCTACAGTGTAGCTGCCACAGTGATGAAATTGACCCATATATTTAAAGGTAGCCAATGACTAAAGTTAACAAACTGACTAGCAGGAACATAAACTTTCAAAAATCATGAGTATCTTAACAATTAACTACCAATACGAATATTTAAAAAAAAATTATTTCACGAAATTAACTCCATTTTCCTCCTGTTTATTTACTGTAAAATATCTCTGGACACTAGTGAGCCCTGAGCCACTGTGTGTGAAGGGAGCGTGATGTGTGTGCATGGGTATGTGTTCATGCATGTGCGTGGCCTTGTTTATGCATATTTTTTCACATATGTGTGTGTTCATCTGAAACCTGGTAAAGTTATTATTAAATAAGAATTTATTTGTAAATGTTAATTCCCTTTGTGATCCTTTCCCACTCACCTGACTTTGGTCTTTCCTTTTTCTTTCAGACAAGGCTCAGAACAAACTAGGTAAGACTTCCGATATCCCTTTACTCTTGTTCTCCTTCACAACATCTCTCCCTCTCTGGCATTTCCTGCCTTTTAACTCTGTGCCTTCCATTGGCCTTTCCTTCTCCTGATTTCTGCTCTTCCCACCCTGATTTTGGAGACTGAACTTCTCCTATTTTGAATTCTGGCCCTTTCAGTTTCCCTACCCTTCATTCCTTCCTATTCCTCCTTTTTTCATTTTATACAAAATTATTTCCCTGTAAACATTGGCTGCTCTGTCTTGCCGAGAATTGCCAGTTTCATTAAGAAGTTGGTGAGATGACGAAACCGGTTTGGCTCAGTGGATAGAGTGTCGGCCTGCGGACTGAAGGGTCCCAGGTTCGATTCCGGTCAAGGGCATGTACCTGGGTTGCGGGCATATCCCCAGTAGGAGATGTGCAGGAGGCAGCTGATCGATGTTTCTCTCTCATCGATGTTTCTAACTCTCTATCTCTCTCCCTTCCTCTCTGTAAAAAATCAATAAAATATATTAAAAAAAAAAAAAAAAGAAGTTCGTGAGATGAAGGGTGGTAACCTCATAGACACATGGTGCCGGAAGCCAGTCCATCCTTGCTGCTTGACACAGTCGCTGCAGGATAGAAACATCTGCACAGCATATGTTTCAAGGGACCTGGCGTATATAGCATACTGTTCTTAATATGTTTGCTCCCCTTAGTGCTGTGTGTTTTAACCAAGGTCACCTCTCCGAGAAAGCTTGTTTCCCCAGGTAGGGATTTTTCCCTGAAGTCAGGGAGGGGATGAAACTCCTTAACTAAGTGCCAGGCGGGTAGTTAATCACTTTAACTACAAACAATAAGGGTAGGTGGTAACCTCATAGACACATGGCTCCTTTTATATTTATTTCTGGAAAATATCCAAACTTAGTACCTCTGTCAGAAATTCCAAGTTAGAGGGCCCATTATTATGCAGCTGATACTTCTCCAAATCCTTAAGAGACCACAGAAGATTCCAAACTTCAAGTTTCTCCGTCCATTGTCTTTCCAAAGTCTCTGATATAATGAAAATGTTATTCACCGGTCAAGTGTGAGTTGCCCTTGAATATATAACCCAGGTGTTCTAAGGACATAAGTTAAAATAGAGGTATTTTTTGTAATTTTTCTGGATACAAAAAATATCCAACCATGCCATTTTTTTATTCTTTTGCATTTACATTGACTCAGTTATCAAATGACAAACTTCACTTTTTAAAAACCATTTGCAGCCCTACCTTTGTAGCTCAGTAGCTAGAGTGCTATCCTGATGCGCCCAGGTTTCGGGTTTGATTCCTGCGGGTTTGATTTCTCTTTGATAATGAAAATTCCAATCATATTTTTGTTTCCTTGGGAATGGTCTCTAAGAATATGTTTCTTATACCACAGCTCTTTCTATCCACTCATCTGCTGATGGGCAGAGGGACTGTTTCCAGAACGTGGCTATTGTAAATAATGCTGCAATGAACATAGGGGTGCATATATTCTTTATGATTGGTGCTTCGGGATTCTTAGGCTATATTCCCACAAGTGGGGTTACATAATGGAATATTACGGGGCTGAAAAAGAAGGAATTTTTACCTTTTGTGACAGCATGGAGGGATCTGGAGAGTATATGTTAACTGAAATAAGCCAGTCAGAGAAAGACAAATACCAAATGATCTCACTAATATGTGAAGTCTAATGAACAAAATAAACTTATGAACAAAATGGAACCAGAAGCATGGTGGCCAGTGTCTGAGGGTGGGGGGTGGAAGTGATGGAATAAAGAAGGTGAAAGGAATGGCTAAAGAGCATATGTGCCTACCCCGTGGACACAATAGTGTGGTGAAGGCCAAGGGAGTGGGAGGTGGCAGTATGTTGAGGTGGGCAAAGAGGGGGGGATGGGGACGTCTGCAATAGTGTCAACATTACAAATTTTTAATTTAAAAAGAATATGTTTATTTAATGTACAGTGCAACTTCCATATGACCAGTGCAACAGGTACAGTTTTGAAGAGATGGGTGTCTTTCCTGTACGAGTCCTCGTACCTGTCTCATGTAGAAATTCAAGTTTGCATTTCAGTCTGAAACAGGTGATAGTCCACAGACAGAGGAACAATGGGTACTGTGCCTCCAAGAAGGTCTGTCCCAGCTCCCTCGTGGGTATATTTCCTCGTTTAGTTCCTTTTGCACAAGGCATGGAGGAGGGAACATGTTGCCTCTGATGGGTGAGCTGTCCTTTGGAAACTTTTGTGTGGGAAACTGATATAGGGTTAAGCCTCGGACTGACCTACTGGCAAAGTCACAAACAAGTCCTAGCTTAGAGGGCACAATCCTCTTAGCTTAATTAGGCTTGACCTTATAACACTCCTTAGATCTTATCTGGGAAGCTAAGGGGCTGAGGAAGTGCAGGAAGTATAACCATGGTGTAAACAAGTGAAACTCACAAGAAAAGTGTAACTTTGGTAACCACTGCCTTGTTTACTGCTCACTATAAAAAGCTTGGTGAGGCCTGAGCACAGTGGAAGTCCTTCCCCTTGAGTTGGACTTGCTGCCTGGTCCCCCAATATTCCCAAATTATCTAGTGTCTTTTCTTTTTCATTTGTTGTGCGGCTCCTCTTCCAGACCCGAACCCTGAACCACGCAGGACGTGGAGGGAAACACTAACGACACTTTTGGTTGCAATTTTCACAAGCATGCAATTTTTAACTACAGAGTGAACTGTGAAGAGGGTACCAATGTTATTCTCCTCCCTTCCCCATGTTGTGTTTTTCATTTGACATGAGTCACTTATTTCTCCCTTTTACTTTTCAGCAGGCAGTGACAAGAAAATAGGCAAGTACCAATATCACTCAGTTCTTTGAACTCCTGAGGTAAATGCTAAAAATGGCAAAGTGTTTACAAAAGCTAATTTTAAAATTTCTATCTTTTGACAATTAAGTTGTTGCAATTTCGTGAAACTCAAAGATTTAAAACCGGTAGACTTGCAAAAAGATTTCTGTCCACACATTATAGTCATGCACTTTCTCAATGATTATAACAACTACTAAAAAGACTTTTCTAGGATTTATAGATTATCTTTCAATTGTACAAAATAGATTTCACTGAAAGATGCCTTGCTTAATTTAATATAATAGAAAATTTGGCAAAATTAAAATACCAGTTTATATATACTATTGCTATGAAAATATTTAGAAAAAAATTATTTTATTTCATTAAATAAGTGATGTGGTCCAATCCTTGAATGTCCCAAGTGCCTCAAGCCATCCATAAAGATAAATGTATGGGATAAAATTATAGGTGTGCTCTCTCTACCACTTCAGCAACACTTTCCTTTTATTTATTCTTTTGAGAAAATTCACTTATTTTTCTCCCTTTCCTAAGGACAAATAAGTGATAATTTTTCTCTTTCCATTTGTTCCCTGCTTACGCTTTATTCATATTCACTGTACCAGTTCACTTTGCAGTGGCAATTTTTAACGGATCTTAATTTTCTGTGTTCATTTCCCTTATATTTACAAAAGTTTTCCATTTTCTTTTTCAGAAGAACTTCAGCAACAACTTGGTAACTTTCCTCTGACTGGCATTCCATTAGAGATATATTTCTCTGAAAAGAATCTTTTCTTGTCCATATCTTAGTGTCTAAATCATTACCCACCACCATCTTTGCTCTTTTTTTTTAATTTTTTCATGACTTATAAATTATCCTATCCATTTCTTTTATTTAGTTAAATCTTTATTGTTCAGATTATTACAGTTGTTTCTCTTTTTTTCCCCCATAGCTCCCCTCCACCCGGTTCCCACCCCACCCTCTGCCCTTACCCCTCCCTCCCCCACTGTTTTCATCCATAGGTGTATGATTTTTGTCCAGTCTCTTCCCGCACCACCCATACCCCTTTCCCTCCTGAGAATTGTCAGTCCACTCCCTTTCTATGCCCCTGATTCTATTATATTCACCAATTTATTCTGTTCATCAGATTATTTATTCACTTGAATTTTAGTTTCACTTGTTGATAGATGTGTATTTGTTGTTCATAATTTGTATCTTTACCTTTTTCTTCTTCATCCTCTTCTTAAAGGATACCTTTCAGCATTTCATATAATACTGGTTTGGTGGTGATGAACTTCTTTAGCTTTTCCTTATCTGTGAAGCTCTTTATCTGACCTTCAATTCTGAATGATAGCTTTGCTGGGTAAAGTAATCTTGGTTGTAAGTTCTTGCTATTCATCACTTTGAATATTTCTTGCCACTCCCTTCTGGCCTGCATAGTTTCTGTTTTGAAATCAGCTGACAGTTGTATGGGTACTCCCTTGTAGCTTTTTCTCACTGACTTTTTTCTTTTGCTGCTTTTAAGATTCTCTCTTTGTCTTTTGCTCTTGGCATTTTAATTATGATGTGTCTTGGTGTGGTCCTCTTTGGATTTCTTTTGTTTGGGGTTCTCTGTGCTTCCTGGACTATTTCTTTCATGAGGTAGGGGAAGTTTTCTGTCATTATTTCTTCAAATAGGTTTTCAATATCTTGCTCTCTCTCATCTTCTGGCACCCCCATAATTCGGATGTTGGTACGCTTGAAGTTGTCCCAGAGGCTCCTTACACAATCTTCATATTTTTGGATTCGTTTTTCTTTTTGTTTTTCCGGTTGGGTGTTTTTTGCTTCTTCATATTTCAAATCTTTGACTTGATTCTTGCGATCCTTTAGTCTGTTGTTGGAACTCTGTATAATATTCTTTATTTCAGTCAGTGTATGCTTAATTTCTAGTTGGTCTTTTTTCATAACCTTGAGGGTCTCACTAAGTTTATCGGTGGTTTCTAGAGAATTCTTGAAAAACCTTAAAAGTGTGGTTATGAACTCTATATCCAGTACTTTGCTTTCATTCATTTCTGTCATTTGTGACCTGTTTCTTTGTCTCCTCATTTTTTATGCTTCCCTGTGTTGATAGAGTGGCTTTTTGTGCTGGGTATCCTATAGGGCCCAGTGGCTCAGCCTCCCCAATTACCTGAGGTGGACACTCTTGGGACACCCCTTTGTGGGCTTTGTGCACAGTCTTGTTTTAGTTAAGCCTTGATTGTTGTAGGTAACACTGGGAGGGATTGACCTCCAGGCCAATTGGCTGTGAGAATCAGCTGTGTCTACCGTGGGAGAACTTCTGTGCTGGAGACACCCTTCTGGGGCAGGACTTGCTTCAGTGGGGCTTTGGTGCTAACTGAGTCTGCCCCCTGAGTGTGTCCCTTATGGATCTGAGGAGTTGTAATCTAGATGGTCCCACTCTGACCACTGGGTACACTGGCTCTTGGATCTCTAAGGAGGTGCTAATTTAGCCTTTGCCTGAGGCTACTCAGCAGGAGCTATGGAGAGATCTGCAGATTCCTCTTCTTTGTTTTGGGTTTGGAGTTGCCCAGATGAGGCCCAGCTGTGAAGAAACGCAAGCTGCTGTGGGGCCTTGGCCTTCTTTTGGAAGTTCTGGATTTCTCTGACCCAGCTGCAGTTTGTTAGGTAATTTTCAGATTGCAAAGGGCCAGGCCTTTCATATGCAAAAGCCTCTGCGCATAGCTTGGATGGTTCTGGGTCTCTGGGAATCAACAGGGCTGGGAAAACAGCTATGGCTGCTCCTCAGTCCTACCCTAAGAGGCCCGCGTCTCAGTGTCCCAGTAATTGATAATCGCTGCAACCACCTCTAAGAGAAAGCCGCCCTCGAGTTCTGCCCGCTGCCAGACAGCCCAGTTTCTTCCCGTATGAGTCTGGAACCCCAGAGACTTGCCAGGAACTGGAGTTCAGAGCAGTTGGGAGCTTGAGACTCCCTCCCAATTGAAAAAGACAACCGTGTCCTCAGTTGCCAGCCCTTTCCACATGTGCCTCCATACCTCTGCACTTTACTTCCACATCTCCTCTGAGTCTTGGTGTGCTTTTCTCTTTCCTTCTAGTTGTAGAATTTCCATTCTGCCAGCCTTCCTGTTCTGGATGGTGTCCATTTTGTCTTTTAGTGGTATTTTTGAAGTGGTTGTGCGAGGCAGCAATTTTTGGTGTTTACCTATGCCGCCATCTTGGTTTTTCCCTCCTCCATTTCGTTTTTTTCCTTCCTGGGATTCTCCCATCCTCTGCCTCTACCCTTTCCATTCCCTTTCCTTCACTTGCTATCTCTACCTTGCAGATGCTTCCTATAACTGCATTTCAAGGCTGGTGAGCTGAAGATCAGGTGAAGGAGCATGTGCTTGCTTCCATTCGAGATATCTTCCAGAAAACTGCCATTTACTTAGGTTTTCCAGCAGGGCCTCTGGATAGGCATGCCCATTGCTGTGACCACAATAATATGCTAATTGTTAAGGGAAGGAATAGGGCTTCAAAGTTTCTGATGTATGTTTTTCCTTCTATTGGACTTTTAAACACTCTGAACACACTGCTGGCAAGTTTACCTTGAGACTTGCTATTCTACTTCCCTTGACCATATTCTCATATGGTCCCCTCATATGTAAATATTTTTACCTAATTGTGCCTGTTATTTGCTCTTTCCAACCATAGTTGTTACTCCACTTTCATTTTTATTCAATTGTTTATTAATTCACCAAATTCCTCTTCCTTTGGGATCTTCATACATATGTTTTTCACTCAAGTAAAATCTCTAAAATCTAAGGTTGGTTTATAAGATAGTCCCACACCACTCTTTAGTACCCCACTCAGGAGTTATTTAAATCTTTCTGTCCCTGTATATCAGATGACATTTTTATACAATTGATTTTGGTAGAATGGACTTTCCTGAGTTGTTCTCTATTTACAGAAGGGACGTGACTGGCCATGTTGTAGAAACAGGCATTAACAGATGTGGGGCTTTAGTTGCCTCTCTTCGTAATGTTTATAAAACCTCTCTCCTACAAATGTGTTTAAATGTCGACTTCTTAGTTAGGTGACAGCACAGTTAAGGTCCAGTGAGAGGCAGAATCCCTGTCATAGAATCCCAGTCCTTTCTCTCTCCTGTATTCAGCTCCCATGTGAATTGATTAAGAAATGCTTCAGTCAGGAATGACCTAACAGAGAAACACAAGTGCAGTACCATTGGAAATTAATCGATTGACTAAAGCTTTGTGAACACGGGCACCAGCACCCTGACCCTGTATTGTCTAGTGCAGCTTTGTCTCAGTGTCCCCTTCCCAAGGGTTTGTGGCCACTTTGCACAGTGTTGCTGCCACAGTGATGAAAGTGACCCATATATTTAAAGGTAGCCAATGACTAAAGTTAACAAACTGAGTAGCAGGAACATAAACTTTCAAAAATCAAGAGTATCTTAAAAATTAACTACCAATTCGAATATTTTAAAATTTTGTTATTTCATGAAATTAACTCCATTTTCCTCCTGTTTATTTACTGGAGAATATCTCTCGACAGTAGTGAGCTCTGAGCCACTGTGTGTGTGTGTGTGTGTGTGGGTTGGTGGTGGCACAGTGTGTATATTTGTGTATACATGCATGTGTGTGGCCTTCTGTGTGCTTATTTCTTTACATATGTGTGTGTTCATCTGAAACCTGGTAAAATTATTATTAAATATGAATTTATTAGTAAATTTGAATTCCCTTTGTGATCCTTTCCCTTGCCCCTGACATTGGTCTTTCCTCTTTCTTTCTGAGGAGGCTCAGAACAAACTAGGTAAAACTTCTGATATCCCTTTACTCTTGATCTCCTTCTAAACATCTGTTTTCTCTCCCTGTCTGACATTTCCTGCCTTTAAATTCTGTGCCTTCCATTGGCCTTCCTTCTCCTGATGTCCGCTCTTCCCTCCCTGATTTAGGGGTCTGAACTTCTCCTGTTTTGAATTCTGGCCCTTTCAGTTTCCCTACCTTCCATCCCTTCCTGTTCCTCCTTTTCTCATTTTATACAAAACTAGAGGCCCGGTGCATGAAAATCGTGCACTCAGGGAAGTAAGGGTTCCTCACCCCGGCCTTCGCCCTAATCACAGTCGAGGACCACTCGGTGGATGTCCACCTGCCAGCTTAGGCCTGTTTTTCTAAGGGTGTAGGCCTAAACCAGTAGTGTGCCATCCCTCTCACAGTTCAGGGCTCTCACATTTGGGGCTCTCACAGTCTGGAACCCCTCGCTAATTACCACTCCCCTGCAATGGAGGCAGGAGAGTGTCCCGCCACCACCACTGTGCTCACCAGCTGTGAGCTCTACTTTTGGCTGAGCAGCGCTCCCTTGTGGTAGCACACTGACCACCAGGGGGCAGCTCCTGCATTGAGCGTCTGCCTCCTGGTGGTCAATGTGTGTCATAGCCACTGGTTATTCTGCCATTTGGTCAATTTGCATATTAGGGTTTTATTATATAGGATTATTTCCCTGTAAACATTGGCTGTTTCTCTCTTGCCAAGTATTACCAGTTTCATTAAGAGGTTGGTGAGATGAAGGGTGTTAAGCTCATGGACACATGGCTCCTACTGTATTTATTTCTGGAAAGCATCCAAATTTAGTACCTCTGTCAGGTATTCCAATTTGGAGGGCCCATTATTATAAAGCTGGTACTTCTCCAAATCCTTAAGAGACCACAGAAGATTCCAAACTTGCAGAGTTGAGGTTCTCTACCCATTGACTTTTCAAAGCCTCTGTTTTAATTAACTAGAGGCCAGTGCATGATTAAATCATGAGCGTGTAGGGTCCCCTAAGCCTAGCCTGCCATCAGGGCCATGTCCGCTGCCACGCAATGCCTTACATGCTCCATGGACAGTGCTGGTGCCCCGCTATGCTCTGCTGATGCTTCTGGTGCCTGGTGAGTGGGTGGGGGGAGGGCTTGAGAGGTGCTCCATGCACCCCATGGTGACCGGTTGTTTGGTCGTTTTGGTCATGACACCTCTTGGCCTTTTATTATTATATTTCATATCATTTATTAATCAAGTGTGAACTGGAGCATCACTCTTATATACTCCCCTTGAAAATGTGATCGTGGCCCAGGTATTCCAAGGTATCTAAATATTTTGCAAAATTTTTTGGCTTTAAATTTATCCAACCATGTCAATTTTGTTCTTTTGCATTTTTATTGACACAGTTATCAAATTACAGACTGCATTTTAAGAATAATTACATACCTTAAGACATGTTAAAAAGCAATATAACTCTCATTGAGATTTTTTATGTTAAGGGCACAAGACACAATGACCTTGGATTTTTAAAAAAAAACATAACAATCATTAATTGTTTAATATCCTCCTTTTCCAATGACAATTTCAATTGTAATTTTTTATTTCCTTAATAATAGTCTTTCATATATATCTCTTTAATGTACATAGGAGATTTTATACGATTAGTGCATCAGAAACAGTGTTGCCTTTACTCATCATCACTGTTTAAGCACCTGTCTCATATATGAATACATGTTTGCTTTTTAATTTAAAAAAATATGAAGGCCCAATGAAAGAGAAATGATTGATGGTGTTCACCTCAGAACAGGTTCTGTCCACCTCCTCTCAAATTTTAATTTCTTAATTTAAAGAAATAAATTAAGGGGTGTATTTTCACAAGGGGTATATCTGTATAAATAAAAGGCTAATATGCAACTTGTCCCTTTCGGAGTTCGACTGATCAGGAGTTCGACTGCTCGCTATGATGTGCGCTGACCACCAGGGAGCAGCGTGGAACAAAGGAAAGCCCTCGTCGGCAGCCAGCAGCCAGCACCCAGGGGAAGGAAGGCCCTGGCTGGCAGCCAGAAGGCCCTGATTGGCCCTGATCACTAGCCAGGCCTAGGGACCCTACCTGTGCATGAATTTTGTGCACCAGGCCTCTAGTTTGTTTATCAGAAAAATTATGTGTTGGGAAATTTTCTACTTATATGTAAGTTAATGGGCCAAATGTTTATACCTTCTGCAGTAGATAATAAAATCAGAGAGTACACGTTTTTAAAGCTAATTTTGAAAGTCCGATCAACTGAAAACTAAATTAAATTTGATTGCAATTCAGTTAAATATAAAGAATTAGAAATCATCAGACTTACAAAATGATTTTACCGAAAATGATTTGTATTAACTTTCTCAATGGTGGTTATATCGTCTAAAAATATTTTTTCAGGACTTCTATATATAATTTAATTACCATTAATTATACCAGCAATGTTTTCAATAAAGACATCTTGTTTAACACGACATAGAAAGATTTGCACAATTAAAACTCAATTTCAATACACTATTATGAAAATAACAGTTGTTACATTATTTTGTTAAATCCATATTTTGGTTTAAACCTTGAATTACTTATATCCTTAAAAATTTCCATAAAGAAAATACTTATGTAATAAAATCCTATTTATCTGTCTGTCACATTTTTACCATCTTTCTTTTATTCAGTCAATTATGAAAATTCATTCTCCTTTCATTTTTCTAAGATAAATATGTGCTTTTTTTATTACCTAGTTTTTGTTTTTGCTTGTTTGTTTTTTCTGATTACATTCATCCTGCTAAATTTCTGTACACCAAAAAATGTTAACTCATTTTTGTTTTCTGTATTGGTTTTCTCAACATTTACATGAGTGTTTTTTTCCATTTTACTTTTCAGAAAAACTTCAGAAGGAACTTGGTAACTTTTTTCTGACATTCTTTTTATTGATGTATTCCTTAGAAATATCATTCTCTTTTCCCCCTTTCCTTCCCTTTGATATATTCTTGGGCTTCTACCTTCTGAATATACACCATAATGTTATTATAAGATTGGTGATATGCTATTATAATTTGGTAATGCAGTTATTCCATTACATAGAAAGCTTCCTTTAACTTGGGTTCCCCCACTCCCCCATGTGCTCTGAGATGGAGAGCTATTGTTTTATGTGTGATGTTCTCCTAGTTCTTAATGGAAGGGTTCAAACTCCAAAACTACTGAGTGAGAGAGTTCCTTCTATGCTGGCATTCTTCACATTTGTCTAGACTAGTGGTTCTCAACCTTCTGGCCCTTTAAATATCGTTCCTCATGCACTAGCTGTTTTGGCTAACTGGATAGAGTGTCAGCCTGGGGACTGAAGGGTCCCAGGTTTGATTCTGGTCAAGGGCATATACCTTGGTTGCGGGCACATCCCCAGTAGAGGCTGTGCAGGAAGCAGCTGATCTATGCTTCTCTCTCGTTGATGTTTCTAACTCTCTATGCCTCTCCTTTCCTCTCTGTAAAAAATCAATAAAATATATTTAAAAAATAAAAACTAAAAAACAATAAATACAGTTTCTCATGTTGTGACCCAACCATAAAATTATTGTCCTTGCTACTTCATAGCTGTAATGTTGCTACTGTTATGAATCGTAATGTAAATATCTGATATGCAGGATGGTCTTAGGTGACCCCTGTGAAAGGGTCGTTCTACGACAAAGGGGTCATGACCCACAGGTTGAGAACCGCTGGTCTAGACTCATGTCAAATATAATGTTAAGACTTGCTTCTCTTGACCATATTCTCAAGTTACCTATGGTACATAAATAGTTTTGCATGATTTTGCCTGGTTATTTTTCTTGGTTATTACTCCTCTTAATTTTTATTTTTATTCACTTAATTATTAATTCAACAAATTACGTTTCCTTCAGGGTTTTTTATACATGTGTTTTTCACTCAATTTAACTTAATTGACAATTTATCTCTAAAGTGTAAAGCCAGTTTCTAAGATATTCCTATCCCCTTATAAGAATTATTTAAGTCCTCATGTATTCTTAATTTGTAGAGACGTTTTCAGATGGAACAAACGTTAGAGATTTCTTTCATTATTTTTGTAATGGGCATTACCTGGCCAATATGTAGACACAAACATTGTTGAATGTATGGCTTTAACTGCATCTTCTTAATGAAGTTGAGGAAACCTGTCTCATATTTGTGTGTTTGTATCTTTTATCTCAGCTGAGAGGAAGGCTCAATTTAAGTCGGGTGAGTAACGCTTCTTCTCAGAAAGCTCCATTCGTTTGTCACTCGGGTCCTGCCCTGATAGCAGTAGGAGAGTAGGCAGAAGTACAACCAAGTGTCTATAGTTGACAGAGCAGCATTTGAAACATCTTCTTTTTAAATGTAAATGAATTCTCTCTGAACAGCAAACCGCATGTGATCCTGCATGACCTTTCTCCTCTCCTCTTTCTTCCTTCCTGTCTTCATGTTATGCTCCCTCCTTCCACTCCTCCCTGTGGCTCCCACCTTTTGTTGCTTCTGTGTTTCCATCTTTCCTATACCTGAACACTATTATCATGCTTGAAAAAAATAGATTTGGATGTAATAGAAGACAGAAGGACCAAGTTCAAAGGATTCAGAAGAAATGGGACAAAGACGGGGAGAAATGGAAAGATAAAGAGAGAAAACAGGAAAGGAACAAAGCTAAGGCTTCCTGTTTTGTTTTTGTTTTTTTTCTTTTGCAGTTTGGATGAAGGCGCCATTATATGCTGGTGAGTGACATGGACTGTGATGAAAAAATCTTATCAAAGATTTTTTAGATGAATTTTGTGTGTGCAATTCTGAAAATCAAAGAGCCCCAAAGTATACATTCCATGAATTCAATAGATTATTCAATATTTTAACAGATAAGAATGTGTTTAAAACATTACATTTTAGTAGATTTTATTTATTAATTTCATCTCATATTGTCTTAAGTACAGGTACAGTGTTCATCATCTGCTAAAAATTTAGGAAACTAAAGCAAAAAATAAGTTATTTGGTCAGACTCACCATATCCCCTATTTACTCTCAAACATCCTAAATAGATTATAGATATTCATCCTGTAGGAATGTTGGGTGAGGAGCGCATAAGAATGGGTCAGATCTTCAAGTCAGACATAATTTAGCAGATGGTACAAGAGCCTCTAGTATATTACAGAGTATTATCTTTGGCTTCTATTATCTTGAATTAATCCCAGGGAATTTATACTCATAGAATTCTGGACAGACAGGCAGCTTATCTTTCAAATGTTGGGTCCTGGTGTTCATTTGTTCTGTTCCTTTCAGATTGGAGAAAAGAAGAGTTTGAAGCTGGTGGGTCTGTGATGGTCCCGGAGGGACCCTGATCCTTGTGGGGTGACCTTGGGGAAAGATGGGTGGAGGTGAGCTGGGGCTACCCAGGGCCAGAGCAGATCTCACAGAATGGGGACCCTCTGGCCCAGGTAACTGAGACCTTCCTTGAAAACATGGTGGTCCACTTGTCTTTGCAGTACATGTGACTCTGGATGCAGGCACTGCCCATCCTGCCCTCCTGTGTGAAGATGGGAAACGAGTAACCTGGCGAGAGCCTTGTCAAGATCTACCCCACTCCACACAGAGATTCGACTCCCTTCCCTGCGTGCTGGGTCAGCTGGACCTCAGGATAGGGAGATCCTTCTGGGAGGTGGAGGTTGGGAATGCACATTCCTGGGACCTGGGAATTTGTAGGGATAATGTCACGAGGAAAGGGAGGGTTACTATGTCTCCACAGAATGGTTTCTGGGCCATCAGGCTCTATGAGGGGGCGTACTGGGCCCTCACTTCCCCAGAAACCCCTCTTAGTCTAAAACAAAGACTCTGTAAATTGGGGATATTCCTGGATTATGAGGCTGGAGATGTATCTTTCTATAACATGACAGATGGGTCCCACATATTCAGCTTTCCCAAGAACACATTCTATGGTGCCCTAAAACCTCTTTTCAGGCTTTGGTCGTCTGACTCAGGCTCCCTAACCATCTGCCGGGTTAAAGAATAAGAAGAACGTCTGATGTTTTAATTGATATTCCTAATTAACTCTCGTAAGAAAGTATTACTTTGGGCCCCAATGATGACACAAACTGATTTTGTCCTTCTTCTTACTGGTTCATGTTCAAAATGAAGCTCTGAGACACTGATGATTTCCCTCATATCAATTCCTCCTTCTCCCTTAGTTAGACTCCTCTCATTATTGCCTTGTCCTAGGATAGCCTAATACAAATGTTAGATTTCCTAACCTCCCCTGCTGCATGTGACCACATGATGGCCCCGGATTGTAAGGTGAATTATCCTATATGACTCCTGAAATGTGTCCTTAAGGGAAATTGTGTCCTTCTGTCCTTTATTTTTTGCTGGCTATAATGTTTCATCATGGATGGAACTCAAAACACATCTATGACCATGTAAAATGACATGGATGATAGAAAAGACAGAATGAGCTTGGGTATTTGACAACATCATTGAAATACTCTATTGCCCAATTCCAGAATTATTTTCTGTGAGAAATAAACTTGTATATCTTTAAGATGTTTATATGTTGAATATTTGTCTCTAGTGATTGAATCTGACTGACTGATGAATTCTCCCTTGAAGGATTGTAGCAGATGACATCCACAGTTGAATATTCAGGTGAACCCTGAGGTGTAAAGTCCTGCTCCCCCAGTGTGTCAGTCTCATTGGGGCCTCTCACTTTCTCCTGACCCGTCAGCACTCCTGACTTCACTCACTACCCTTTTCTCTATCGGTGTCATGGTTCATACTGTCAAGTATTCTATTGCTAATAAATGGAAATCTGGGTGTTGTTGTTCTTCTGTCACATCAGCTTGGCAAAACTTAATATAGATTAACCTAGTTATCTATTTCTCAGACAGGCAGCTTACCACGCTACAAAGATCTACACATACAAGAAGATTGCACAGTCACTATCACAGCATGGACACCAGCACTCTGGTACTCCTCACATGCATCTCCAGCCATTTTCATTTCCTTAGTTTTGTGGTCAATTTTATTAAAAACTTCACTTCCTTTTAAATTCCACCTCTACTGCCCCCTTTTCTAAGTATTGCTGTATGTCCATGGTGAATAATAATAATTAAGGAGGAGGAGGAGGAGATGTCAAGAGGCAATTGTCTCAACTTTGTAATAACTAATTTAACAAACCTATTTGAGTCAGCATCTCTCAACTACTCCTCCCTCAGCATTACCTTAAGGCAGTCGTCAGCAAATGCGGCTCATGAGCCACACGCGGCTCTTTGGCCCCTTGAGTGTGGCTCCTCCACAAAATACCACATGCGGGCGCACATGTACAGTGCAATTGAAACTTCGTGACTCATGCACAGAAGTCAGTATTTTGTGGAAGAGCCACACTCTAGGGACCAAAGAGCCGCATGTGGCTAGCAAGCCGCAGTTTGTCAACCACTGCCTTAAGGGAAGTATCCCTCTTCCTTTACAGGGATCACCACTCCTTCTTCTCTCCATCCATCCTGTACTATCCTCTCTGGTACTAAAATCCATCAGTTATTCCTCTCAGCTTTTATCATAGCTTTCTTTCCCATTAGTATTAAAATTTTTTAAATATTTCTCATCTTAGTTTAAAAACTATACAATTTTTCTTCAACTCTGTATTCTCCTAAATATGCTCCTAATTCTCTTTTATAATCAAACTTTTCCAAAATCTACACTAATAAAAGAGAAACGTACAAATTGGTGTCACTCTGCTACGCCCACCAGACAATCGGATGAGTATGCAAATTAACCCAGCAAAGATGGCAGTTAATTTGCATAGGCAGGCGAGGAGCTAAGACTGAAGGCTGAAGAGGCTTGGTTTCTCCACTGCAGCTGGAGTGAAGGCCTGGGTCCCGGGTACTGTAGGAAAACCGGTGCCTGCAGCCAGGGGAAGGGAAGGCCTATTGCACGAATCTCTTTGTGCAACGGGCCTCTAGTAGTTATATAAACAGTCTATATCTTTTCTGTTTCCCATTTCCTCCTCAGCATACACTATGATATAGGTTGAATTGCACTCCCCCACTCCAAAATTCAAAATTCATGGGTTGAATTCCTTACCTCCAGTGTTAAGAATGTGACGTTATATTTGAAAGTAGGGTCATCACAGATATAATTCATTAAGGAGAGGTCATACTGGATTAGGGTGGATCCATAATCCAATATGACTGAGCCCTTTTAAAAGGGGGAACTCTGGACACTGACACGCACACAGGGAGAACATCACGCCAAGATTGGAGTTTCGCTGCCACAAGTCAAGTAATGTCCCTGGTTGCTGACAAACCATCAGCAGTGAGGAGAGAGGTATGGGACAGAGCCCTTCCTAGTCCATTCAGAGGTGCTGTGGCCCTGCCGGTGCCTTGATCTCAAACTTCTATTCTCCACAACTGTGAGACAATAGACTTCTGTTGTTTAGGCTGCTCTGTTTGGGGTTGTTTGTTAGGCAGCCCTAGCAAACTAATGGACTATTTTTATCCCAATAATTCCACTGAACTTTTCATACTAATGCCGCCATTCTCACAGGGCCTTAGTGGGTGCAATAGCAGAGAGGTGACCCATATGTGTCTGCTGTATATGCCCACGTGCCCCTGAAGAGACGGCTTGGAGCTCTGGTATGTTGTGGGACCAACCGAGTGCAGCCCTCAGGCACTGAGTGCCAGGTATCAGGCAGTCTAGCTACACACCCACAAAGTGCCATCAATTCTTCTAAAACAGTTTTCTGCAGTTCAATCAAAACGTTGCAAAAACAAGATTTGAACCCAACATACTATCCAAGCCTCATCTTCCCATTTTATGGTTAATCTCTCATAGATTTTATATGCTTAAGAGACAGAATCTAAAGAGAGGAAGTCCCCTTATAAATCAGCAGGCTTAAAGCAAAAGCCTACACCCTCCAAAGATAATTTCGTTGAACTTCTATCAAAACCACTCTCATCCTTCAAGGCTGCCTTTTTGGGCGAACAGGATTCTAACAAGGAGAAATAAAGTTCCACCTCCAGAGCAGTACTGCTCCTTCTCTGTTTTGTCAAACAAAACCCCTAATTAATGTTTTATCACAAATGCTGTTCACAGTTCTACAGTAATCTCTTGCGATAGAGAGACCTGGACTATATGCTAATGACAAAGTAACTGTGTGTTCATACTGAACACCAAACCATATGCAATGCATCCTGGGACTGGCATCACGGGCACTGTGACACAGCCTCATTGTTTGCACGTCAGAGAGCCACAGGTCCACTTTAGTGCAGTGTCAGCCTGACCCACATTTCCCAAATGACATAAGATTCTGATTTACTATAAATATCACCTCATTGCTTACTTTGGTAGAAGGGACCTGGGTTGAGATCACAGCCTTGCCCTGGCCAGTGTGGATCAGTTGATTGAAACATCGTCCCATGCACCCAAAGGTGGTAGGTTCAATGCATGTCAGGGAACATACCCAGGTTGTGGGTTCAATCCCTAGTTGTGGTCGAGGCATATGGGGTCAGGCAACAGCCAATCGATGTTTTCACTCACGTGGATATCTTCACTCTTTCTTCCTCTAAAAAAAAGAAACAGAGGGAGAGAGAGAGATCATTAAGTCTAGAGAAATGATTGACTATGAAGCAATAAGGGGAAAGGGGGAATTAAAAAATTATATAAGTTGCCTTTGGCCCTCCCCCTTCCATTGATGATTTTGTTTTTTATTGTATTTTATTTATTTATTCTTTTATTTATTTAAATTCTTTATTATTTAAAGTATTACATATGTCTCCTTTTTCCCCCATTAACCTCTCCCAACCTGCCTCCACCCCTGAGTACAAGCCCTCACTCCCCTAATGTCTGTGTTCATTGGTTATGCTTATATGCATGCATACAAGTCCTTTGGTTAAACTCATACCACCATCCCCTGCCTTCCTCTGAGGTTTGATGGTCTATTCCAGTGGTCCTCAACCTTCCTAATGCCACGACCCTTTAATACAGTTCCTCATGTTGTGTAGACCCCCAACCATAAAATTATTTTCGTTGCTACTTCATAACTGTAATCTTGCTACTGTTATGAATCGTAATATAAATATCTGATATGCAGGATATATTTTCATTGTTACAAGTTGAACATAATAAAAGTATAGTGATTAATCACAAAAAAATATGTAATTATATATGTGTTTTCCGATGGTCTTAGGCAACCCCTGTGAAAGGATCGTTCAACCCCCAAAGAGGTCGCGGCCCACAGGTTGGCGACCCACAGGTTGAGAACCGCTGGTCTATTCGATGCTTCTATGTCGCTGGATCTATTTTTTGTTCATCAGTTTATGTTGTTCATTACATTCCACAAATGAGTGAGATCATGTGATACTTGTGTAGATGTACCACCGTTTTTTAATTCACTCATCTGCTGATGGGCACTTAGGCTGTTTCCAAATCTTAGCTATTATAAATTTTGCTGCTATGGACTCTCATAGCCAGTTAGCCTGGAGGTCAAATCACCCCTGTATTGCCGACATCAATCAAGGCTTAAAGGCAACAAGACTGCGGACAAAGACCACTAGGGGGTGCACCAAGAAAGCATAAAAAATGCGGAGACAAAGAAACAGGACAAAACTGTCAATGGAGGATATTGAGTTCAGAACCACACTTTTAAGGTCTCTTAAGAACTGTCTAGAAGCTGCCGATAAACTTAGTAAGGCCCTCGAAAAGACTGGTGAGACCGCTGATAAATGTAGTGAGATCCTCAAGAAATCTAATGAGACCCTCGATGTTGTGATAAAGAACCAACTAGAAATTAAGCATACACTGACTGAAATAAAGAATATTATACAGACACCCAACAGCAGACCAGAGGAGCGCAAGAATCAAGTCAAAGATTCGAAATGCGAAGAAGCAAAAAACACCCAACTGGAAAAGCAAAATGAAAAAAGAATCCAAAAATATGAAGATAGTGTAAGGAGCCTCTGGGACAGCTTCAAGCGCACCAACATCAGAATTATAGGGGTGCCAGAGGATGAGAGAGAGCAAGATATTGAAAACCTATTTAAAGAAATAATGACAGAAAATTTCCCCCACCTGGTGAAAGAAATAGACCTACAGGTCCAGGAAGCGCAGAGAACCCCAAACAAAAGGAATCCAAAGAGGACCACACCAAGACACATCATAATTAAAATGCCAAGAGCAAAAGACAAAGAGAGAATCTTAAAAGCAGCAAGAGAAAGAAACCCAGTTACCTACAAGGGAATACCCATACGACTGTCAGCTGATTTCTCAACAGAAACTTTGCAGGCCAGAAGGGAATGGCAAGAAATATTCAAAGTGATGAATACCAAGAACCTACAACCAAGATTACTTTATCCAGCAAAGCTATCATTCAGAACGGAAGGTCAGATAAAGAGCTTCACAGATAAGGAAAAGCTAAAGGAGTTCATCACCACCAAACCAGTATTATATGAAATGCTGAAAGGTATCCTTTAAGAAGAGGAAGAAGAAAAAAAAAAGGTAAAGATACAAATTATGAACAACAAACATGCATCTATCAACAAGTGAATCTAAGAATCAAGTGAACAAATAATCTGGTGATCATAATAGAATCAGGGACATAGAAAGGGAATGGACTGACTATTCTTGGGGGGGAAAGGGGTGTGGGAGATGCGGGAAGAGACTGGACAAAAATCGTGCACCTATGGAAGAGGACAGTGGGTGGGGAGTGAGGGCGGAGGGTGGGGCGGGAGCTGGGAGGAGGGGAGTTATGGGGGGAAA